GGAATAAATTTGGAGACATTATTATAAATACCTTATTTTGCTCCAATCAAGGACAATATGATACAAAATCTCCAGTGAATGCCTGAAACACAAGATGGTATCAACATCTATATATGCTATGCTTTCTTCCTGTATATACATATCTATGAAATTTTTAATATATAAATTAGACACAATAAGAGATTAAATAGCTAGTGATAGAATAAAGCAATTTCCACGATAACCTGAAATGAAATAAAAGCATCACTACTCTTGTACTTTGGAGCCATTATTATGTAAAATAAGTGTTAAAGGACCAAATACTTCAACACTGTGACAGTAATTAGGTGAGATAGTTACTATGTGACTAATGGTAGGACAGTGTACACAACATGGATACAGTGGGCAAAAGGATGATTCATGTCCTGGGTAAGACAACAGAACAGTATGATATTTCATCATACAACTCAGAAAAGCATGCCAATTTAAGACCTATGAATTATTTTTAGAATATTTTATTTAATATTTTTTGGACTCTAATTGATCATGATTGTGCATTAATTTTAATGGAGAACTTGACTGGAATGAAAGACTTTTGGATTAAGATCACAGGGGCTCTTAAATTGAGCCAAGACAAGAAGAAAGATGCCCTGAAGGCATCTTAGAAATCAGCAAGATCTCGCCCATCACTATCTCAAAATAGAAAAGTGTAAATGTTTCATTTAAAACAAGAGCCTCTGGAGAATCCCTAGACCTCCAAAAATGGAACGCATGTCATTGTTTAGGCTGGGTTCATGTTACCATGCCCACTGCACCCAATGTGCAAGGAGGAGCATGCTACTACTCAAACTGGCAGAAAAGCTTGGCATTGTCCACATAATGGAGTTTTTTCAGATGTGCAGAATGCAAGAGCTATGGTGTCACAGAGGCTTCTACCCAGATTTCAAAAAAAGGCCTGAGGAGGCCAGTAAAAATGCGTGACAGGATTAATACCCTGACAAAAGCCCCCAAGAGGGTGATGTGTTAAGCTGTGGGAGTGAAACCTGGACTTCATAGAAGACTCCATGGAGATGGAGATGCCAGGAACATGAAACTTCTGTAGAGGAAAGTTCAGAGATCAAGCAAAGCCAGCCAAAGAAAAATTCATGTATACTGCAATAAGGAAGGCCACAGGAGTGGACTACATGAGGCTTCTGGAACACACATTTCACCATCATGTGTCTGGATGCCAGACATGTAGTAGGTACGAACTTAATGTTCGGCTTGCTGGGTTTCAGTCTTGCTTTGCTCCTATTTTTTTTTTTTCTATCTCCCTACTTCTTTATTTTGCAATGGGAATGTTTTCTGCATACCACTGTATATTCAAAATATGTAGCTTTCTTTTTGAATTTTAAAGGGGTTCACAGTTAAGAGTTTGCCCTGAGTACCAGAGGGGCCTTTCGATTTGGACTTTGGTGCAATGTTGAAACTGTTGAGATTCTGGGAACGGGATTATCGCCAGTTATACTCCAGATAGTTATGTCATATTAGATGGAATTATCATCTTGTTTTTGTTTCATTTTTCTTCCAGTTTGTTTTTTATTGTGTTTATTTGGAGGTTAAGAATGATTTAAGGGGCTGGGCATGGTGGCGCATGCCTGTAATCCCAGTACTCGGAAGGCTGAGGCAGGAGGATCACTATGAGTTCAAGACCAGCCTGCGCTACACAGTGAGTTCCAAATCAGTCTCAACTACATAGTGAGACCAACTCAAAAAAAAGAGAATGATTTAAGGAGTTGGGTGTGGTGGCACATATCTGTAATCCCAGCGCTTGGGAGGTTGAGGCAGGAGGATCAGATTGGATCGCTGTGAGGTCAAGGCCAGCCTGGGATACATTATGAGTTCAAGGCCAGCCTGAACTATGCAGGGAGGCCTTGCCTCAAAAAAAAAAAAAAAAAAAAAAAAAAAAAAAAAAAAAAAAAAAAAAAAAAAAAAAAAAAAAAAAAAAAAAAAAAAAAAAAAAAAAAAAAAAAAAAAAAAAAAAAGAATGATTTAAAGAGATTTGCTTAGGTATCAGGTTGGCAAGAAATGGACTCATGATAGTTATTTTTAATTAGCAACTTGACTCAATTCAAAGACTCCTGGATTGGATCTTGGGGGATTAATCTACTGGCGTTCATAGATGAATGTGCTATTAGGAATTCTGGCTCAGTTGCGGGTAGGTCACTGGGGGTATGCCTTTGGATGGTATATCTCTACTTTATACTCTTTCCTGGTGCTCTATTTGCTTACAACCATGAAATAAACAGCTTTGTGCTAGCACACCCTTCCACCATCATGTTTCTGTTTAAGAGATGGCTAACCATGGACTGAAATCTCTGCAATCATGAGCCAAAAATTAATTTCTCCTCCTTTAAGTTACAAGTGTCAGGTATTTTGTCTCATAATAAAAAAGCAGACCAATACACCATGAATAACTAAAATCACAGAAAATAAACTGCAGATATGGGGGGCCTACTGTACTGATGGTACACATTTATAGATACATAGATATAAAAACATATAGTTATTGCTCTGTTAATTGAAAGAAGGTAAAAGAAATAATATCTCAGCTAGGCACACCTAGCACCCATATATAAGAAACATGGGATCCTTCAAGAAATGCTTGATTCTAGAACTGGGGGCAAAAAATACGTAAGATGAACATAGCATCTTATAATGCCAGTAAGGAAGAAATTGTTTAAAAACCCAAAACTCATAATAATGCGAGAAAAGTATGACAAAGCCAATTTAAGCCAACTGAAGAATATCTAATGATGAAAGCTCAAAAATTAAGCAACAAAATTAAATATTACTGCATCCAAAGTGAAATAAATATCTTTGAGGCCATACTGATACAAATAGATAAGAACTGAAGGAGCAAAGGCAAATCTCCCATTCTGAAGGCTAATCAATTATATTTTTCACATATTTAGCTCTTGAGGAGGTACATAAGTTTGCACTCATCATTCATTGTGGGCTATCTACAGTAACTGTTCCCAAAGGCTACAATATAGAAATAAAGAGGAGCTTGATAGTAGTTTAACTTGACAAACACTAGCTTAATCTAGATGTTTAATATTAATAGCAATAAATCATATTGCTAGTAGGTTCTAATATTAAAAATATAAAAATGGTATTTATTGGTAGTAAGTTCAAATACAATATATTAAAAATGGCATTTTACCTCTACAGTCTTCCCTCCTGAAACACATTGTACCAGTGTAAACATAACAAAAAGTATCATAGATATTTCAACTGAGGGGCATTCCACAAAATTCTGGCCAATGTGCCTCAGACTATCAAAATAATCAAAAAATAAGGAAAGAATAAAAAACTGTCACAATCAAGAGGAACTTAAGGAGAAAGAAAAATTAAGTGCAATGTAGTAGTACTCTGGGTGGGATCCTGAAAAGGATCATTAGGGAAAAGAAACAAGAAATATGAATGAATTTAGATATTTACTTAATAATTAATGCATCAAAATTGGTTAATTTGGATAAATGTACCATATTATTGTGAGATACTGGAGAACAATGATAGAAGAAAACAAGTGTGTGTATACAAGAATGTTTCTTGTCATTCCATAATTCTATACATCTAAAGATATTCTAAAATAAGCTGTTAAAATATACTTCAATTATTATATTATTAAATAGTATTTTAAGAGACTTATCCTATATATAAGCATTTTTTATATAATTTATGATTAACATTTACTGCCACTCTAGGCTATCGTCATTATTTCCTAGATAGACAAAAAAGAGTCAGGAAGAGAATTATGTAAAATAACAAACTGTCAAAGATATGTTCTTTTTGGTGAGCAATAATATGCCCTATGTTTTATCAGTGCAATAGTGGCAGTATCCATTATTCTAAATGCCACATCTGAGCATAATTTTTATGAAGTTCAATAGCTTTCACTTGGTTTTATAAAACTTGAGAACCCAAATTTAGTATTAATTCTCTTATTTTCAAGAAAATTTATTTATCACATTTGAAATACTTTAATAATTTCATGAAATTTCACTTTTTCAGATATAGTTTCTAGTGTATGGGCCAAAACAAATATGGGCAAAACAAAATGAGGCCGGAGAAAGAACCACTGAGCTAAATACCTTGCCATGAGCCAAAAAAGTATATGAAGATATATCTAAAATCCTGTACTATCAATATTTCACATTTTAAAAATGTACATGCTACATAAAAGCTCGAGAATAATTTTTCAGTATTATTTACTTGACTTTTAAAAAGGCAGTTAGCTTTTAGTTAATATTTAGAATAGATATGGAGAGATATTTAAGAATTTCTCACTCCTAAAATGTATTGAATACAGTGAACCTTCTATTTTATGTTTTCTAAGTTTCTGCATTTATTTAAATAAAAATGTTACCAAGCCAAGTAAAACACCAGTTTGGGAAAGCTGAGTTCCAGCAAACAGACATGATCCAGGTCCACATGTACCAATGAAAGGGGCCTGGTAGACTTTAAGCTTTATTTTTCTCTTTACTTAACTACTAATTAGGAGTGGTAGCTGTAAAACAAACCTAAAACTATGTGCTGGAGAAAGTTAAAATTTAAACTCTGTTCTTCTAGGAATAAGTACACTCAAAATACCTTATTCCATTCTTAACAAGCATGAAAACCTTGTCTCTAGGCTGAACTACTCTTTATAAATATAATTGTGAATATCAAATTTCCCTGTGCCCTCTTTATGTATGATGCTAAATACTGAGTAGGATTCAACATTTTTTTATAGATTATAATCCATTTGAGGGCAAAGACCTCTTTTACTTGAGAGAGTCACAAACTGCACTTTTATACTACAAACTACAATGAAAATCCTGTAAGTTGCTGTGGTCATTATCTAAACGGTCCCAGTTGTATATAAGATGGTCTAATCAAATAACTGGTGACCAATTCTCTTCTTCCTTTCAATTAATCATTTTAGTAAAGTCTATTAAAAACAGTCCCCATGTGAGAAAAACCTAAGTATCAAATACCATTAGCATTCACAGACAGGGTCTCTTCTGTTCTTCTTCTAATTTCTCTAGATTGACTACAATGCCTGAAAAGATAAAAGAAATAAATTTGTAAATTCACCAAACTATCAACAGTATTTTACAATAATTAATTATCAAGACCAACAAGAAGCTACAAAGTAGTAAGTATAAGCACTGAGGATCTATAAATGCTTGAAGTACAAAGCAGTACCCTTCAAGATACAGAGCTGTACAAATTCCAAGTGGATATTTTCCTCTGTCTCCTCCAAATATATATATATATATTTTTCTTGGTACCAGGGATTGAACTCAGGACCTTGCACTTGTGAGTGAGGCAGTCCAAATATTGTAAATAAAGGCCAAACCCACTTTTAGTGCCACAGGTGAGAAACTCAAGCACAAAATAGCTGAGTTCTCTGTCAAGAATCCCTTATGGCCAAAATCAAGGTTCTGCCTTGAACTTGAGGTGCTCATCCAAGATCATTTAGTTCTTTGTAGTTTTATTACTGAGGTCCTATTTCCTTGTTATCACCCAAGGACAATAATGAACTAGGCCAGCCTCAGGTTTGCCCATGTGACCTTTCTCTCATAAAATATCATTTTGCTGCTCTTTTGAGATTAGCAAGGAAGCATTTCTTGTACACTTCACTTTTCGAAGCTATCAAGCAACTTAACATAAAATTCAGTGAACCCAACCTCAAAAGCCTAACCTAAATTGGCTTATAACTCTTTTCCATTAATTTCCTCTATAATTCATTTTCCATGCAAAGAGTGACTTTTTAAATTTTTAAATGAAATCATTTTATACTTCTTGGCTTTATTTGATTTCTTTCATACTTTGAAGTTATACATTTCTTTTGTTGTTGTTGTTGTTTTCTGGGTTTTTTTTTGTTGTTGTTGTTGTTTTGTTGTTGTTGTTGTTGTTGTTGTTGTTGTTGTTTTTTGGTACCGGGGATTGAACTTGGGTCCTTGCGTTTGCAAGGCAGGCCACCGAATCGCTGAGCTAAATCCCCGGCCCTGAAGTTATACATTTCTAAACAAAGCCCTACAAGGGCCTATGAGAACATTCTATGGTTTGAAATTTATGTGCTGAAACTTAATAAGGAGTGAGTTCTATAGGGCAATGATTAAGTCATGAGGGTTCTGCCCTCATAAGTGGATTGATTAGTTGCCTTATAATGTAGGCATCACTAAGCCCCACCATTTTGCTCTTGTGAGGACACAGCCTCCAGAAGATGTAGCAAAAAAGTAATTATTTTGGAGGCACAGAGCAAACCTCAATCTGCTAAGTACTTATCTTGGACTTCCCAGTTTCCACAACTGTGAGAAATAAATTGCTATTGTTTATAAATTACCCAATCTGTTGAATTTTATTATAGCAGCACAGATTAAAACAGAAGACCTCTTTGAAGGGACACTATTTAATACTGAAATGACTCCTTAGGGGAACTTGTTTGGTAACCACGACAGGGAGGATTGTTCCAGGCACAGAAAATGACTAATGTAAAAACCTGAGAAAAATATAAACTTGCCATGTTTGAGGAACAGACAGAAGTATAGCATAATGACACTTACTATGGGGAAATAGGTAGGTTAGTTAGTTTCTTGACTCTTCTGGGAAAAGTAAATGTCAAGGGAGGTGTTATATAGTGAGTAGCAATCCACTTTAGCCTTGGTTTCCTCTTATCATAGCAGATATTTAACCTGCTAGATTCATGGTGTATTTTATGGATTCTTTAAAAGGCCTCAAGTCCCTGAGGCATTGTATAAAAAGTTCCTTGATGACTACAAATACAAATCTACTAAGTGGTTACTTATGATTCCTGACCTTATTATCTATGTTTTTCTGTTGTGATTTCTCCCTTTTATGCAGGACTAAGACAGTGGTGGCAAACCTATGGTACATATGTTGTGATTTTCTAAGACAAAAGATGTTATTGTATGAGTAGCTTTTTCTAACCTAAAACCTCAGTATTCAGGTTTAACTGCTGTGTTGGCACTTTGTGATGAATAAATGGGTTTGGGGATGCACTTTGGGTGCTTGGTTTCTAAGAAGTTTGCCATTCGTGTTTTAAGACAATTCCAGCATGATATTTATTATATAGCGCTCATCTGGAACAGAAGACACATGCAGCTTTGGTTTAATTTTAGTGAGAGTGGAATTATTTTCTACCTGAAACATCCAATAGGCTGCCACAAACTGCCTCAGGCAGAATTTTCTGGTTAGGTTTCTTAGATATGAACCAGACACTTGCGAGTCTTCATGTCCATCAAACTGTAAAAAGCATTTATGAAGTTCTACTTGTAGGATAAGTTTAAATCACATCTCCACTTTATCCACAATAACTTTTCAAAATTGTTCAATGTGAGTAAGCTTTCCTACCAAGGGGAATCAATTCCAAGGATACTCTTGGTAATAAGCATACTACGATCTCTTAAAGTTACCGAATATTGTCTCTAGTCAAAAAATAGTAATTTAAAAAATTAAAGATATTAATGAATGTTTAAAGCATTCAAATTAAAAATTCTCCCTGCCAAGGGCAAGGCCTAGAGTTGTCTGCACCACGAGAAATCCTTTTCAAGAAATCAAGTTGGAAGCCAGGCGTAGTGGCTCACGCCTGAAATCCCAGCACTCGGGAAGTTGAGGCAGGAGGATCACTTTGAGTTCAAGACCAGCCTGGGATACATAGTGAGTTCCAGGTTCCAGGTCAGTCTCAACTACATAGTGAAACCCCATCTCTCAAAAAACCAAAAAAACAAAAATAAATTAAAAAGTAAACTTGAAAATTACACTAAAGTAGTACTCATTATAGGTGACTGGTCAGAAGAGGAAGAAAAACTATAATTATATTCATAGTAATGGAAAATATATAAGAGGGTTGAGGGGAAACCGAAGCATAATGGGCATGTTCTAAGAAATGGTATTAAAAGAGTTCCCTACAAAACACACTCATATGGAATATTCATTTTTCCATCTAATTTTTTCATTGGTTCATAGTGGATCTAAACTGAAGAATTCTGCCTTAACAGCATCATTGGTGAGAATAGCGAGGATGTAGGTCTAGATATATAGATAAGAGATTCTAATTACATTAAAAGGCTTAAGTATCTGGGGTGGCCAAATGCTCAACTCTGATATGTATAGACTTAAGCAACAAGAGCAAGTAGATGCAAAGCAATGGCTTGAAGCAAACCATAAACCTGATGAGACTTGGGATAACTCTAGATGATGGAAATTTCAATAAGAATTCAAAGGAAATTACAGGATGACATGTAAGGTGATGAAATCACTTAGGTTAACGGAGGGAACTTATATTTCTTCCTATTAAGTTTGTTCTTCATAACTGTAGAATCTGACCCTTAGTCCCAGAAACTTGAGGGTGTAAAATTACTTTTTCTATAAATAAATCTAGATTCTATTTTATGCAGTAGAAATAATCTTGAACATTTAAAGTAAACTCATTCATTTCAGTTATTTATCCTCCTCTCTACAAGCACAGCTTTGCTGATATTGTACCTAAACTGAAAGGATCTAAGATAATACCATAAAGTTAGATTACATATCATTTTGGGGATCACTTCAGAATAAATTCCATTGTGGTGTATATACTGTCTTCTGATCTGTTATTAATCCATACAGAAGTCAACTATTTAGTAGGAATCAGCCTATTTAGTAGGAGCCCTCCACTTCATTTGTCTTCTATCCCAAACACATGCTTCTCTCAGCTTCTCTCAGATATCCTACAGATATCTAAGGTATATCAATGAGATGAGAGATTCCTCAGGAACATATCTGGAACGCCTTACTCATATGTACTGTTTTATTGCCCATGAGAGAGGGAGAGGACATGGATGAAGAGAGATAGTATGATGAGATACATGAAAAGCTTCACATCTTTCTGAGCTCCACTTCAAAAACAAAAATTCTCTTAGTTCTAGAATCCCAAGTGTATGACTTTATTCCATTATCAATCTCTATACAAAATCCAGACATTGGGGAAGTAATATATGAAAGAACTTGATATGGTTTGGTTTTGAAATCTCTCTCAAAATTGATGTGGGATAGGCTCGGTTGCCACTGGACACGCTTTTTGGTGAAGTGATCAGTTCATGAGAACTCTACATCAAATGAATTGATCTAATGATGACATCAGAAACTGATGGAATTATTAGGTGCTAATGCAAACAGGAAATAGGGTTTAGCTAAAGGGAATACACAATGGAGGCATGAACTTGGAGACAATATCTGGTTCATGGACCCTTCCTCTCTAGCTTTTTCTCTTTGCCTCTGCTTCCTGTTACCTTGGGATGAGCAGCTTTCATCCACTATACCTTTCTGCCGTGATGCTTCTACCTTGTTACAAGTATCAATGGAGCTGGGTGATTATCTGAACCCATGAGACAAAATAAACCTTTCCTGTTCCATCAATGTTATTCTCAGGTATTTTGTCACACTATAAAATAATAATAAATTTTCAGGTTAGACCTATTATAATGGTCACATAATTAATCTCTGGCCAACTATAAAGATTGTCAGAAATACTAAAAGAGAAAAGATTCAGTATTTTGTAGAATGCCTAATAAGCTTAGTCTATTTAAATATTACTTTTGAACTTTCATTAGTACTCACATACATGAAACAGTCTTAAAACACAGTTTATTTCAGTCACTGACAGATATTATCAAATGTCCAAAAACAACTCTGAATTTATTCTTAAAAGTTTCCACAAAAATTTGTGAAACACATCTGATACTAATTATAATGATCAATATATCCAAATGCAAATTGCATACTGTGTATACATTAAGCACTCCTGAAATTTTCTGAATATTTCTGGAATTTGGAATCTTAAATTATTGAATCATCATATACATATGCCTAGCAAATATTTTAGAAAGGATACAGGTAGATTTATAATTTTAAAGTATATATGTAATTACATATTTACATAATATATTTACCTTGCATATTTTCTGAAATGATTTTATACAAAAACATCAGTAAGTTTTTCCTTTGTTTTATGGTCTACTCTTAAATCTTAAACAAAATTTAAATAATACTTTC